CGTAACCCTCGGCAAAGGCGCGGGCGACAACTTTATGGCGGTTGCCGGTGGCGGGGTTTCGCCAGGGGGTCTGCGGGAGGGGACGTGGAAGGTTCAAGCACCATAAATAAGTCCCCGCCAGGTGCAAGAGTGCGCGACCGCTCGCCCTCGCCCGCTGCCCGGAGCCCGCCGAAAAGCTCGAGAGGAAACCACAACCCGTCTCAAGAGTTCGAGAAGTAAGTTCTGGCTTAGGTAATTCAATAACGTGACGAGGGTTTGCTTAATTTGCAGTTTTGTGGGTTTTAATATACACACGTGCAACGTAATTTTACCTTTTGGAGGGAGCACAGGAGACTTCGTGCATTTTCCAAATTGGATAGAGAAATCCACAGCTACTTTAAAAGGGAAAAACTCTTTGCTTCTAGGGATGCTACTTGTTAAACAATGAACTCCTTTCCATCAGCACAGACATGCTACTGCTACTGATTAATTGCTGTGGGCGCTTCTTTTCTCTTAACTACAGTAGCAGAATTCACAGGAATTGAGTATCTCCAGTGTGTACAGGTACAACATGACAACGTGTTTTTTCCCCCTTCACGTATGAGTTAATTATGCTATAACCAGGCCTGAGAAAGAAATTAATAAAATACAACAAAACAGAAAGTCAAGAGGATGTCACACTGACATCTGCAACAGTTGTGAAGGCAGAGGTATCTGACAGGCAAACATGCAGGTATTCTGTTCTTTAAGTCTAGTATGAAAAGCATGCAAAGAAACTATAAATCTTCCTTGGAAGGAGATACTCTTTTTCCTGTATAAATACTGTTAAAAGTGTATTTTATACAGCCACAGATATACCATATTACACAGACACATAAGCCTATCCTATCAGGGAGCTTCATGTTTAAGTAACTCAACTATATGCCTCCTAAATGATAAAGCCATAAATGCTCGTTAAAAGCTCCCTGAGAAGTAGTAAATATTTTGTAAACTAGCTACATATTTAAGATCTCTGGACAGCAAGAGAAGGAAAAACAATTCCTCTCCTATCTAAAGGTACCAATCAAACACACTATGCACATAAACACCGCAAGATGCTTGGTGGGAGACTGTGTGTATGTGTTTGTGTGTGTTTTAATTAACTCCTTGAATGCATATGATGAGCCAGCCACCCAGAATTAGTAATGCCAAACTCCCAATTTGATTCAAATGCAATGAATACAACAGTCGAATTGTGCGGGCTGGTGTGTCACTCATCAGCTCTCTCATTTGGGCTTTTGCCTTCCAAGGCTAGTTCACAATTTCAGCAACTGGTAAATTATTGAGATGTTCATTAAAATCCATAATCTGTTACAGTCAACTTCTTCCTCGCTAAGCATAAGCACAACAAATTAAATTAGTGCATGCAGGACAATAATGAGAACTCGGCAAATGCATTAATTCCTTCAGCCTTATCTCAGAGAAATAAAATTGTGTTAATTTTCATCACTGTGAAAAACCAGCATCTGAAACTTTTAACTGGCACTCTATTTAATATTCTTCAAAACTCAGATCCCTAGAACCACAGACTTAAGCAATAAAGTCCTTTCTTAAAACATCTCAATGGAAGTTAAAAGCTATTCAGCCCGATATTAAAGAAATCTCATTGTTTGCTTTTAAATGAAGGAATAATCACTCTTACTTCCACAGGTAGATTTTAGGAGAGTGGGACGTCATTCTGAGCAAGCTGGTTAATAGAAAAGTATTATTCTTTCTCCAAAATTCTCAGCAAACGCAGCAGAAGAAAGCTTTTAGGATAACTTTAGCTAAGAAAAGCACTTAGGAATACGCAAAGTTTCCTTTTAGGAAAATGATTTCTCCATTTGACAGTGTTGGTACAACCCCAAAATAAATTCAGTGGGAGTCTGAAATGACTCGTGCAGTGCAGCAGTGAAGCAGCTAAGTATATTTTTTTCCTCCTAGCAGAGAGTTGCTTTACATCCCTGAGCCCTTCCTTTCCACAAGCTATTCACTAGCACAGACAAGGTTTCGAGAGCACAGAACTGGTGACTGTAAATGCTGAACTTGTTCTACTGTCCCCATCCCCACTGCTCCCATCCATGCCTTTTGTCTTTTCTAGCTCTTCCTTTTTTCCTATGGAGGCATTAATTCATCCTTACTTCTACAAACGCTGCATACCACTGTACCTTGAACTGGCACGTTAAAAATAAAAATTATAATTAAAAACAAAGAAAATAATGAGAAAGAGAAAGGGTGTCACTCTGTCCGGATTCCTAGCGTAGCCTCTCTCTCAGTCTACAGAGAAATGTAAATATGCAGTAATTAATTTGGGTTTAAGAACATTCCATACACTAGGGACATTGTTAAGCAGTCACTTTATCTATTTTTCATTAATCAGATTTTATTAAGATATTAAAACTTTATGTTGGGCATTTCTGAGTTTTTATCATTCTGTAAATCTCCTAGCTGTCTGCGATGGTTCTGGCTGCATTGTCTGTACCTCTTCCTCAGTGAAGTAAACTTTCTTTCTATTGTGGCCATACTTGTTATATTTAATGACCCGACTAAAAAAAAAAAAAAAGAAAGGAGAAAAATCAAACAACAAAAGAGTTATTCTTTTTGAGACATTTAGAGCCAATTCAGAGTGCCACAGGTACATCACAGAGTATATCTCAGAAGTTACCCTTTCCCTGTGAAACACACGGAGCAGATTCCAGTTATAATTTCTTCCTACAACGTTTCTGCAAACATCATCCCCCTCAGCGTACACATTCTGATGCTCCTCTCAATCAAGCAGCTGAACCGCCACAAACAGAAAGAAAGACGTGCAAGGAACTTCTCAGGAAAGGACGAAAACCCTCACATTTTTTGGCACGGTAATTAATTATACATGTTAATTCACAAAACCTACTGCAATTTACCAGTGATGCTGAATGAATTAATGGATGTTTACTCGTCTGACACTGAGGATCATTTTCATTCCAAGTGTGTATCATAAATGCACCCCGATAACAGCTGCAGACACACAAGAGAAGTCCCCTTGGTTCAGCTGCCTTCAGCTGGGGTGACTGAAAGTTTCTGAACTGTTTGCAGTTTACTGGGATACACTGGAACATCACGGGAGAGACGAGCGGCAAAGAAGAAGAACAACCTCCTGAGATACATACAGGCGCTCTGAGATCTGAACTGCAAACAACTTTGCCTGACAAATCTGTATCTCCCTGTGCTCTGCTATTCAGGTTCAAAAAGGAATAGCGGGAGATGGATAGTAATAACCAAACCGAAGCGGGTCATGCAGATACAACATGCTGGACCCCAAGCGACTGCAGAAATGTGCTCCAAGAACTGTGTTTACTGAGAATCTGAGAAAATAACCTGCCATAATTGTCTAAAAAACAATCATCTGTGCATCGTGCATATATACACACATGAACTCTGTAAGCATTTCTGTGTCTGGGGGTCTGTGCATCTCTGTGTAAAACAAAGTGCGTCCTCTTGGCTGTTTTCTGACAAACACACGTACTACATGGACAGTGCCTTCTCTGTGTATGTGTGTGTAACTATAGTCAAACACACACAATGTAAACAAATGGTAATGATTAACAAAGATAATGGTTCGTATTCCCAATTTCAACTCAGAGGGAAAAATTGTTGAAAAAAAATTTTTTTTAAAAAAATTGTATGTCCCGAGGTTCATTTTTATTGCTTCCCATTTCTGCTGCTTGCTGTTATCTGCATAGCAAAAGGAGAGCAGCGTATTGATTATTTAACTAGAATGTTTACAAGAGCAAAGCTGGGATCTCTGAAAATGAAACGTATGCCTAGAGGGGGGGGGAAAAAAGAGTAGGGAAGCTCATTCTATTTCTAAGGAACATGTTTTGTCCCAAATGATTTGTTTATGTATAAAATTTATATAAATATACATATATTTATAATGCAGAGAGACTTCAGATAAAAAAAAAGTCCCCCAACAGGAAAATGAAAGGACTTCATTCTGCTTCACAGAGTTTACAAGTATTGTGTTCATCACAAAGTTCAAAGAATAATCGTAATCACTTGCTTACACATTTCTATGCATAATCTTAATGAAGCATATGAAATACTTGAATCTATGGATTGTAGGAACAAGACAAATACATCAGCATCATCATGTTAGATCAAATCTGACATCAGAAACAGTAACAGTTTCCTCAGGTAGTTGAACTAAGTTAACACAGTGGACATAAACAAAACCAATTTTGTTCTATTATTGTAATGATAACAAACCAAAGAAAAACGTCGAGTATTCCAAGTAAGTCTGGAAAATTAACTGTTTTAAAGATGACCCTGGAGTAGAGCGACCAAGACAATTCCACTTTCTAGTAAAGAAGCGTTCTAGTTGCAGAACAAGGATTGAAAGTGTTAAAACAGTTCTTTTCTGCGTTTCCCAATTTCAGTTTTCTCTGATCTTTTAATTCAGGCATTCTTTCCTGTCCTTTCTCTGCATGCGTGTTCCTCAGCCCACTTAAAATGTTTTTATCTTGCCTTCTTTTCTATGCCTTTACTATCAAATTCAGTAGGTTTGAACGATGAACAGCTTGACTTAGCATATTTTTAACCAGCTGGTCTAGCACCTAGCTTGTATTGCATAGTCAGATACAACCAAATGTTTATACAGGAGGTAGCTTTCACGAAGATGAGAAAAACCTCAGTAACGCGCATCCTGGCGTTCTTTTATTTACCGCTTAGAAATGAAAGTTTGGATTGTTTACTGCAGCCGCACAAGGGACTATTAATAACCTTTAAAAAAGAAGCTGGAGGGAAGGGATGCGGGACCATCAATGGACGCGTGTGCAAGCGCCTGAGAGAACGCTTCAAAACCTCTCAGGAGTGCCAGATTATATGAAATAAGGACTAAACTCTCGGAGGTCACAAGCCGTCGCCAGTGACAGCAAAAACTTAATTCCAGGCAGGAAAGGCTCCTGCTTCGGGTAGGGGAAGACGGGCACATCTACGTCATACCCAAGCCCCGCTCGTCATACCCAGACCTCGCTCTTGACACTCCGCGAGAGAGGCGACGGCCAAAACTTGGAGGCAAGAGTTTCACTTCTTCCTTTCTTTTTCTTTTTTCCCCCCCTCTCTCCTCAGGCAGAAAGATGTTCTCCTGACGGAGGGCCGGGATGTTAACTTGCCTAAAAATAATCGCTCCTGCTAGATCAACAAAAGGTCATGTGCTCGGCGGAGCGCCTTCCCAAGTTTGACGGGAGCCTGAGGTTGGAAGTTGAACCCCCCGCCTCGCCGCCACCGGGCATCCTCTGATCGCTTCCCGGGGAGTCTCCGGGAGGAGCGGGAAGGCGCTGCCCAGGAAGGTGCCTGGGCGAGCCAGTCGGGCCAGAGGAGGGGGGCAGGAGGAGGGCACGGCAGCCTCCGCGGCCGCGAACCAAAGCTGCGCGCCGCGGGCGCCACCGCCGGGCGGCGGGGCCGGGGGCGCGGCGGCGCCCCGCCCCGTCCCCCCGTCACTGACACGCCGCTGGAATAGCCAAGGTACCGCGGGGGGGATGGAGAGGGGGACACGGACGGACCGGGGTGGGGGGAGCATCTCCCCGGCCCTCCTGCCGCCGAGCGCCGGAGTGTGCGCCCGTCCCCGTGTCCATGTCCCCCGCTTGCCCATCCGCGCACCACACGCGCGCGAACACGCGTGCTCGGTAAATTAAAAAAAAAATAAATAAAAATAATAAAAATAATGCAAGAACAAACAAACCACGAAACAGAAAAAAAAAAATAATTAAAAATGAAAGGGCAACAGACACCCCCCTCCAACACACAACCCCCACCCCAACAACTCGACTCACCTTTCAAACTCCTGAGGTAAATCAGGGTCAGTTAGCATGCTGGAAAAGCACAATTTCCCTTTGTCACAGCAGCCACCTATGGTCGCCTCCAACTGAACCTGTCAAGTGAGTCCAAACCTTCTAAACCGATTGATTTTCTCTCTCGCTCGCTCTCTCCCTCCCTCCCCTCCCTCCCTCTCTCCCTCCCTCCCGGCTCGCTCGCTCTGAGCGAGGACTCCTTGACCAGTCTCTTAAAGGGGCAGCGCGCTCGCAGCAGGATGATCGCGCAGCTCCCCCCGCCGCGCTGGGCGACCTCCGGGGGCCTGTCCTTTCCTTTTAATTCTGCTCGCCCGCCGCCGCCAAACGGGAAAAGTCAACTCCTTCAATGTCCTAAAAAAACGTGGAGAGGTGGAGGGATAAGTGGGGGGGGGGGGGTAGAGTGGGGGGGAAGGAGGGAGGGGAAAAAAAAAAAAGGCAGCCCGACAATCCACCTAAACCGGCAAACCAGGAGCAAATCCCCTGCGCTGAGGAAGATCAGTGGAGAAAGAAGATAAAACAGGAGCAGACTGATTAAATTGAAACAGTTATCAACTCTCGGAGTTGAAATAGGGGAGAAGAGATTAGACATAAAAACGTTACCAAAGGCATTTGTGTTCCGAAGAATTTTCATTCCTTTCCCCCCCTCCCTCCCCGCTCTCTCGCTTTCTCTCTCCCTCTTTCTCTCTCTTTGGGGAGGGGAAAAAAAAAAAAACACACCCCGCACAACAATCAGGCATTGTTCTGAGGGAAGAAAAGCAACTTTGACAGATTGAAATATAGCAGAGGCCCCTTCAAGGAAACCTGTAAACAACTTGTCACTCACTCTGTCGGTCTCACTGTTAGCTCTTGCTTTCCACAAAGTGCTGCGAACCGTCCTGGCAACAAACCCAAAGTTTCCTCAGCTCCAAACTCCATCAAACAGCCCTGTTGTGTGCAAGGGAAAAGGTAGCCACATGCCAAAACAGCGGGCGCGCACACGAACGTGCACACACACGCATGCACAAACAACAACAAAAATAAACTTTCCGTTCGTCTGCTAGGGCTTTTCTCGTTTTCTATTTAAACACACCCCTCCCCTTTCTTTCCCCCCACTCTGGGCGAGCAATAGGAGTCCCTCGGCCGTGGCTCTCTCTCATTTCCCCTGCCCAGACAGCCCCTGATAACAAGGTGGACGACGCGCGGTTGCAGAGCCCCTCGGCTGGCCGGCGGAGCGCAGCCTCCGCCGCACTTCCAATTATCTAGATAAAAATCTGGCAGGCGAGGGAGGCAATCAGGTAACGGGCCTCGGACACGCGGGGACGGAGGTGCCGGCAGCCCCTGCCTCCCGCCCGGGGGACACCAGCATCCCGCCCCGGGGACACCGCATCCCGCCCCGCCCCGGCGGGAAGGGCTGCACCGCCCGAGCCCGCCCCGGCGGGGAGAGGGGGGCAGCGACCGGGAGAACGCCGCGGGGAAATTCTCGTCCAAGCCGCGGGGATTAGCCGGAGGCTACTCTGGAAGCGGAGCGCACAATGCCTCAATAGTCTGCGCGGCCCGTGTCCGGCCTGGCACCGAACTCGAAGTAAGGGGAGGGAGGGGAAAGAAAAAAAAAGAGGAAAAAAATTGGTCTCCCTGTTCTTTCACACACACGTGCACACACACCCACGTATCTATTCTCCATTCTTTCCAGTTCCCCTGCCCTAATTCCTTTCTCTCCTCTTTTTCTCCTCCCCCCCCCCCTTTAATTTGCAGCTGGACAACATTAAGGGCCTTCAAAAACCACGAGGTTTTGACCCCACAACAGTTTGATTAGGTCCATTGCCCCCTCTTCCCCTCTTATCCCTGCCTCACTGTGGCACAGAGATAGCAACTTTACTTTTTGAAATACACACACATATGCGCACAGAGCGGCCAGAAGATGTTCAACATTTTCCTGCCCACTGGCTTAAAAAAAATGCCGAACAGAAAAGCTTATTATTTTTAATATCCAACAGCTACACTGTTTAACTCGCTCCTTTTCCCTCTCAATGCATATGTTAGAAACCAGCAGGCTCACGCAGGGGCCAGTCAGTCCAGTGTTGGCATAAAGGCATCATCGGCTGGAAGCCTGAGATGATTGTTTTAATCACGAGGAGCAAACCCACTCGCAACTTCTGCGCATCATCCCCGAAGAGCACTCAGAGCATTCGCGGAGCAAAACGCCGGAGCCAAGTTTGCGAAGGCGCCGTCGTTGCAGTTCATAAAAGAGGATCTGCACAGGCTGCCTCCAGCCTGCCTTACACCACCACGGCGCTCCCAGCCGAGTCGCATACAATCTGTCAACTTCTGGCATGAGGGAGATCTAATGGCTCCTCACTGAGGGGCAGGGTAAACCAACTTCCTTCAGCAGCCCCTAGCAAATAATATTTTCCACAGAGGTCCATTCATAGGAGCCTGACAAACCTAGTTAATATGTACAAGGATTTTTCACTTGTTATTTAGTAGCTAGCCCTTTTAGGACAGCCATGAAGTAGACATTGAAAAGGCAGCAGATGATTAAAAGGAACAATTCCAAATACTTTCTCTTTCATCTGAGGGTCTCAAACCATGTTAAGTCTCACATTACTCCTCTGCAGGTAATAAATATAATTAGGGCCGATTCCAAAACTTTATTTGTATTGAAAAGTATCTCGCTCCGCAGGGGCTCCATTCAAATCAGCAAACCTCTGTGTGGAGTAGGAGGCTACTTAGTAGGAGAATTTGGCCTCAAATAAGGAAACTGAGATGCAGGCAGGCTTAGTAGCTTGCCCAAGTTGACACAGTTAGCCAACTCCAGAAAAAAGGATGAGAAACAAAGATCCCACGTGCCTCACAGTCGACAACAGTCCTCATGCTGCTGAAACACATCTATATGAATATTTGAGCTGTTTTTCCCACAGAGACATGATTTTTTTACATCTACTATTTGTTTAAAACATACTTCATTGTTGTATTCACATTTGTAGGGCCCCTTTTCTTGGTCTTTCATTTTCCCCTTGATGCACACCACTGCCCATCCATAAATGCTGTTCCTCCTCTGCCAGTTCTTGCTTTACTTCCCCTGTTTCCTCACACTTGGCCATGGGAGAAGTTTACAGAGTGAAGTTACACAGAAGCCCCCAGCTGAATGAAAATTAAGACCATCTTTTACTGAAAAAAAAGATAAATCTCAACAGTTATGACAGAACAGCAATACCCTATTTTGACTGCATGTTAGCTCCACTCAGCTCTCATATCCTTTTTTCAACTCAGTTCCACTCCACAACTGCCCTGCTTCTACCATGTCCTTCCCTCATCCATTCTCATACATTTACCCCTTCCTATATCGTTTCCTATTTGAACTTTTTCAGGGCTCACATACCCCCCCCAGCTGGTATTATACCTAGGACAGTGGCACTCCTGGGTTGCTGGCTCTCAGCTAATATGATTATAAACCATCATCCATATCAGGAATTACAGAAAAGGACATGAGCTAGACCAGGAAGAAGTAGAAAGAACCACAATAAAAGGAGGGGAAAAAAAAAAAAAAAAGAAAAAAAGTTTGAGAGAGAAAACTAAGATAACTGAGCAAGAGGGAGAGCTGAGAAGGGGAGAGGAAATGGAAGAAAGGAAGGAAGTAGAGATCATTCCCCTGAATGCTTCTGACATGAACCCTTCTTTTCCCATACCCTGCTTTACAATTACTCTTACCCCAATACATTTTGTGCTCAGGTACCTACATCTTCTTCCCTGTTTCCTTCATTTTACATTTTCTGCAACTACTGAGCTCCCTCTCCCAGCTGAGTGGGGTAAAAAGGAGCTGGGTCTGAAAAGTAGAAAAAAAAAAGTTACTGTTGCTACTGTAATATTGTATTACTGTATCCTTGTGCTGTACTTACTGCAGATTAGTAACAGCCTATTGTATAGACTTTGATAAAATAATGTTCTCGTAGTAAGTTCAACTACAATCGCAAGAGATAAAAAAAACAAGTTAAATGGTTCGAGGGAATCTCTGAAATGCTTCTAGAAATCATATTAAGTTTTAGACTTACTTTTTAGAAATTGCCAGGACATGTCACAAAGGCTGCTAACATATCAGAAAGTGCAAAGACTGAGAAACTGGGATAAATACCCACTGAAAAAGAAGAAAATGTATGTAACATACATCTGTCCAGATTTTAACATATGAAATTTTATCTTGTTGCAAAACTTTTGAGGCATAATAAATAAATAAATAAAAATGCCTCTTTTCACTGGGCAGGTCATAGTTATAAAACCCACTTGCAACCTCCGACATCCACATTCAGTTCTCTCAGTTCTCTCTTCCCAAACTGAGAATTCAGATATAAGTTATAATATCTTCAACTGATGAGAAAAATGGAAGCTCCC